CAAATAGTTTCTCTAGTGTGAGAAACTGAAAGTGTAAATAAGGACTAAAAGGTATAATAGATAATGTGAAACAGGAAGAAAAGGGGCAGAGAGGAAGGGGAAGTGGCAGGGGTAGGGGAAAGGAAAGAAGGGAATGGAATTAACATGAGAAAATTAAAAAATGGAAACAAAGTCTTTGTAAATAGGGAGGGATGGAGGGGTTGAAGGAAGGGCAGGGGAAGGGAGAAAAAAGAAGAACCAAGAGAGATTATGTAAAGGTGCAAATTTCCAAAGATGAATGTCATTATATTGTATACCTAAAATGTACCAATAAAATAAAAATTTAAAAAAATAAGAAAAACCATTTCTTGACAAGAACAAAACATTGCTATATCAAAACCATGTAATCATTTTATGTCTTGAAAATAAAGTTAAGGCAATGATAGTATTTTCCATGACCCTACTGAATACCAAAGAGAAAAATAAAAAGGCATAATCATGGTTTTAATGAAATTTTCTTTTCTTGGACCTAGCATTATGGTTATACAATAGGTTAATTCAACATACATGCAAGCTTGCTGGTCTTAAATATAGAAATTGTTCTGGTGCTAATTTTCCCATTGAGACTTCAGCAGTAAATGCTATGAAATGCATATTAAAAATAGTACATAAAACATAATAATGCATAAAGCAGCCTGTAATAACTCCTCACATGTGACTGCAGACTCAAAGATCTTTAGTTCCCTTGCTGTATTACTGGGCTTGCAATACAAATCAACCTAAACCATCTTATTCAAATGAAGTACAATTGTAATCTGAAAATGAAAATCTATTTTCCCTCTTTTCCTCTCCTTCTCTAAACATCACCAGAAATGCTCCTCCCTCCTTTTCTGGTAGTTTTCAATAGAAAAGGACAGCATCATACATTCATTTACTATTCTCCATTTCTCACATAGGCATATGTAGAAGTAATAGCACAAGAGTTCGAGCTATGGCATGGCTGTTAGAACTCACTCATATTGCCCTGGTTCTGACATACCCTTTTACAGAACTTAGATGTGCACCTGGAGAGTATTGCTGGTATGCCACTTTCCATGAATACGACAACAGCTAAGTAAACCCTGCAGGAATTCAACTTCTTTAAGCATTCATGCATTTATACATAATTTGTATCAACTGGGAACTTTGTCATTCTTGACTGGGAACTCATACAACGCACCAGACAGCAGATACTTGCAGAAAGAGGCATGAGGTTTAGAGCAAGTTCCAGGAAAAGCATTTTGCTTTCTTACCTCCAGGTATAATATTATGGGCCTTGTGCCAGGTCTCTGGACACTTCTTTACTGTTGCCAACTTCCCTCCTCCCTGCCTCCTAGGGGCACTCAGGAAGAAGTTAGGGCTTGCTTAGATGAGCTGGTCACTCACATTAGCAGCCAGTGCTGCCACCTGTGAGCTGCTGAGGCTGTGAACATTACTAAGTTACTTTACAGAAAGGTATGTAAAGAGTTGCAAATGTTCCCTGAGCTAGCTGCTCAGGCATTTCGAAAGAGGCAGGTCTGGACGTGTGTGTGAACGCTTCTCCTCGCTATTTATGAGCTGAGCAGCTTGCTGTGAAAAGCTGTCATGTTTCCCCAGGGTGTGTCAAACCAGATTTTCTGGCATGCCAGGCCATGAATCTCATGGTTATCCAAAAGGAGGGCCTGCTGAGGGGTCTACAGGGAAAGCTACACGTATGACTTGTTTCAACTTTAGGTTGAAGAGAAGGTAAGTGTGGAAAAAACAAGAAAAACTATTTTACGGTGTTCTCTCCATTGTCTCTGTTGCAAATGGCTAAACCAGTTTCTTACTATTCAGTAGAGGTGGAGGAAAAGGTGGGGATTTAGTTACACTGAAAGGAAGCAAGATTTACTCATGGCTCTGTAGATGGACCAAGTCATTGGCAGAGATGATTCTTTAAATGATTCTTTAATCCATATAGATTTAATTTCCTTAGGAAATTCTTAAAGTTATGCAAAGGAAATTGAAAAAAAAAGCCCTTTTTTATTCTGGAAAAGATCTGAATTAGCATCTAAGATAACCTCATTTGAGGCAGGGATGATGTCACACCTTTGTAATCCCAGCACTCAGGGAGGTTGAGGCAGGAGGGTCCCAAGTTTAAGCCCAGCCCAGGCAGTTTAGGGACTTAGTGAAACCCAGTGTGACAGTCTCAGAAATAGACACACACACACACACACACATACACACACACACACATACACGTCCCATATACATATGTAACGGGAAAAAACTAAGAGCTGCTTTCAAAGTGGCCTCAAAATACAGGCAGTCAGAGTTCTTTAGTGGGCCTGCTTGCACAAATGCAAATGTTGAGACAGCTTTTCATAATGCTGTATAAAGGCAAACTGGGCTAGGCATTGATCACAAAATGGACTTGCAAACGACTATGCTTGTTGGAATAAATCAGTGCCACTTGGCAAAACAGGAGCCAGACCAGAGCGTGGTCATTGCTTTCTTTGAATTCTTTCTTAATATATCTGTTTTGTTTTTTTTAAAAAAATGATTCTGACTGTCACCTGGGATTATTAGACTGCATAATGGTATTTTTTATGTCCAAACATATGAATAAAATTACTTTCTCACCATGTATATTATGGTTATACATGCTTTCTGAAAGTAAATTAACATAGAAATAAATCTGTGATGTCAAGAATATGTATTAACCTGCTTGGGCTTTATAAATATGAAAAAAATAGCACCTAGCTCTTCGCCTCTCCATGATGGGTTAATATATTGAATCTAGAACCAGACATTTTGTATATTAGAGTATACAGTTATATTTGCTCAATCCAATTTAATAATATATATTTTTAATATCATATGTTCAGTGTTAAACCTGGTGCTCTGGGGAATACAGTATAAGACTGTAATGTGTGAGAAACTGAAAGTGTAAATAAGGACTAAATGTATAATAGGTAATGTGAAATAGGAAGAAAAGGGGCAAAGGGGAAGGAAGTGGGAGGGCTAGG